TAGTTATTCTGTGGTTTCTCCATAAATTCATCATAAGATGGAAAATTATGAAAACTGTACTTAAGATTACTGAAGGAGCAAAAATGACATTTTAAGTGACATTGCCAGAAGATATCTGTAATTAAAATGTGGTTTCTATGGGGATGAGATGAATTGGGAAATTGGAATACATGTACTATTGATACTATTTATAAAATCGATAACTAATGAGAACCTACTGTGTAACACAGGGAACTGTGGTGAATGGGAAGAAAATGGGAAGGAAATCCAAAAAAGAGGGGACATATGTATATGTATAGCTGATTCACTTTGTTGTATGGAAGAAACTAAGGCTATAAAGCAACTGTACTCCAATAAAAATTAATTTAAAAAAAAGTCAAAGACAATATTCATAATAGCAGCTCAACAAAATGAGTTACTTAAATGGTAAAAAAAAAAATGGTTTGGAAATTTGCATTTCATGTAATAAAATAATAATTTAACAAGCATCTACTATATTAAGTAAAATCATGTAACTGCATGAATAATACTTGAAAATCAATTTTTTTAGCCCATTTATATTGTATTATTTGATGGTAACTACATTCAGAATTCACTGTTTATAGGGAAATGTAAAAAGTTGTTCCTCATCAACATAATAACGATTGGTTTTACACAGTCATGTATAGAGATGTTAAGCGGCTTATTATTTTGAGTTAACGTGTTATTATTTTGTGTTACCATCTGAGTTTGGATGATATATTGGAAAATTAGAGTTCTGAATGCAAAATAAAGTGGAAAAGAAATGAAGTTATGACTTGTTTTTAAGCATATTACTCTTGTCTGTATATTCAATAGCCTGAAATTACAGCGTTTGTATCTGTGAAGTCTACAAATAGTACTTATGCTATAAACAATTGAGGCTGCCTTTTCAAAAGGTGTGAGGGAGTGTTGATGGTTTGTACAATGAAAGCGTTGTCGACCATAGGCTAAAGCAAGTGCCCTATCAGTGCTGGTCAGGCTGGTGCACCAGGCTAGTCTGCCTGACGATGCTCAGCCCGGAGCCCCCGGGGTGAAGCTGGAGGGCCTTCTACATCAGACGGCAGAACCACCCAGCCAGGCTTCAGGACTCCGGATGAGCTCACACACCTCTCACAAAACTATCAGTATGTACGAAGGCAGCGTGGAAACCATGGAATTCCTAGGAAATGACTCTCTATCCTCAGCCAGGCCTCAGTGCTGTCAGAACCACCTCCCAGTACCAGGTAATGAGAGAAGGCCCCCAACATCCAGACAGGGATGAAAAAGAGAGATGTTCTTGCCATGCGAACAAGTGCCTCCCAGTGGACTGAGGGGAAGGGTCCTGACACTGTGGAAGAAATGTTCCAAAGAAATGGGTCCTGTGGAGCATCCAAATTATCTGGATGTATGCTACTTCTTTTTATAAAAAAATATTTTTTTTTTAATGTGGACCATTTTTAAAGTCTTTATTGAATTTGTTACAATATTGCTTCTGTTTTATGTTTTTTTTTTGGCCATCTGGCATGTGGGATTTTAGCTCCTGACCAGGGGTTGAAAGCATGCCCCCTGCATTGGAAGGCAAAGTCTTCATCATTGGACCACCAGGGAAGTCCTATGTTACTTCCTTTTAATTAAAAAAAAAAAAATAGAGCACAAAAAGCTCAGGTTGGTGCTCTGTGATGACCAAGAGCAGTGGGATGGAGAGCAGGTGGCAGGAAGAACCAAGAGGGAGGGGATACATGTATGTTGCTCCTTTGTCCCTCAGTCATGTCTGACTCTGTTACCCCATGGACTGTGGCCCACCAGGCTCCTCTGTCCATGGGATTTCCCACGGACAAGAATACTGGAGTGGGTTGCCATTTCCTTCTCTAGGGGATCTTCCTGACCCAGGGATCGAACCCAGGTCTCCTGCATTGACAGGCAGATTCTTTACCACTGGGCTACTGGGGAAGCCCAGGTACACGTATACATACAGCTAAAACAAAATTATACTCTTTAAAAAAAAATACATGTGCCATGCACAAGGGGTAAGCATCTCTTTGCTGCTGCTCTGGACAAGGGGATGGTACACAGAGTACATCTCTGATGCACATAAGGATGTCCTTCTCTGACCTGGAAGCACAAATACAGGCTTTGGTCAGAAGTCAGGGGAAAAGCATTAAGTTGGCACTTCCAACAGTTATCAACACACCACACCCTCTCCTCAGCACTCATATACACCATATACACACATATACACTCATATATACCTCATATACTCATATATACACTCATATACATTCCTTAAGATAAATTCTTAAGGAAATAGTTTAAAGGGAAGAAAAGTCTGCATGTTCACATATAGAATAAATGATAGTATGTATTAGAATTGACACAGGATGTAGTAGCAGTTCATCAATATGATGGATAACATCAAATGTCTTCTATCAGAGAGGTCCCCGCCCACAGAGCAGTGTCCAGTAGGAACGGTTGCTCCTCCAAAAGTTCCTTTTCCTCCTGCTGTCCTTTGTAACTTTCCCTGTGGTGAAGACAGTCTATCCACACTGCCCAGGGCCATAGCCACTGGGAGCATGGAACTTTAAGAGCCTGAAATGGGGCTCAAGCACAGAGGGAGAGATTTTCCTCCCGTTTAATCCTAATTAACTTACACTTGAGCAGACACCAGTGTCTAAGAGCTGCCAGCCTGGACAGGGCAGAGCTAGAAAATGACCACAGGTGTGAACTGGCCCCATAAAAAGGTGTTGCTATGACTTCTTTCTCCCAGGAGCATGAGGACATTCACAGGAGCAAGTGACTTGCCTGCAACTGGAAAGTCAGGGACATCATAGGACTGTCATTCAGGCCAGCCCCCACTCCTGAAATGACCCTCAACTGCAGTCCCCTCATCCTGGAAAAGAAGCCACACAGGCAAGCAATGTCCCTGAAAACTCTAAACGCTCAGCACATAGCTGTGAAAGGAAGCTGGCCACAAGTGGCAGGATTTCTTTCAACAGCAAAAACACACAGGAAATGTTCCCCAGCTACAACTATGTCAGAGAAAACCTCCAAACTTTGCATCGGTGGTTAAGTGCATCTGAAAGCCCCCACTGTGCTCCCAAGCTCTTGCTGTGATCAGATTTCCGCCACAGGAATTCCTAGGGAGACTTGATCGGATGGCCACGTCCCATTATGCTGTCTCAGCATCATTCCATCCTGTTCCACGTTCTTCCCTAGGTCAGCAGGATTCCGTGACACCACACGAAAGACAAATCATAGTCCACCCTGGTTTTTCTGACCTATTCTAATCCCAGATGTCTGTGCCTAAGACTGACACTTTGTAGTTTATTCCACTCATACTGGAGCTCCAGAATCCTTATGTGTTAGCTGGGATTACTGTATCTAACCTGCCACTTGTGGTTATAATATAATTACGTATCTGCACCCTTTGCTTTGGGAATTTTGCAGTGTCTCCTAGCAGAATAACCAGAGTAATCTTTCACTCACAGGAAAATAGAACACAATATGGACTTCCCTGGTGGCACAGTGGCTAAGAATCCACCTGCCAATGCAGGAGACACAGGTTTGATCCCTGGTCCAGGAAGATCCCACATGCAGCAGGGTAACTAAGCCCATGTGCCACAACAAGAGAAGCCACTGGAATGAGCAGCTTGAGCACTGCAACTAGAACGTATCCCTTCTCTTCACAACTAGAGAAAACCTGCACACAGCAATGAAGACTCGGCTCAGCTAAAAATAAACAAATAAATGTTTCAAAAAATCTTAGAATCTGACAAAGTGCCTTGGAAACAAAAGGCATCAAAGGCATGACATAAAATGGGTGAGGGAGCTCTGCTTAAGGAAAATAGCATACGGTCATGAATTTTGTCTTGAATTCTGCATAAAATATTTCATATTATTATAATACCTCAAAACTGCTCTAAACCCACAAGCCTCACTTTGCATGCTTCTTGGGCCTGTATCACTTCCATAAACGCTCCTTTAGTCGTGGTTACCACCTGTGCAGCCCAAGTCAGCATTGCAAATTCATCAGTATTAGGGTAGAGATTGCTATCAGTGTTTTATGGACAAAAGTCCTATCCTGTGTTTCCACTGCAGTTTTCATACTGCCAAGAGGAGCTAAGATCTTCCTTAATATCACCCTATTCAGGTACCACTAAGACAATAACAGGGCAAGAGGCTGAAACATGGGAAAAGAAATGGGTTAAGACCACATTTGAGGATAAACACCTGACTGCAAACAATACACTAGGCCAAGTGTGATGCCCTTGTTACACGAAGTCCACTCTCCAGTGGAGAGATTGGAGCTCAGCCCGAGAATCCTGCTATTCAAAGCCCAGACCCACTGGTGACATTGCAACCCCTGGGGGGTGGTCCAGTGGCCATGAATTCCCATCCTCGACCTGGCCCCACATCAACAATGTGCATGCGAGTGGTGGTGGTCCTGGGCAGCCCTGGGGTCTCCGCCCCTTGAGTCTGGGGTGCCTCTGATGACTGTGACCCACAGAGTCCTCAGGCTTCTGCCCTGAGAAAGCCCGCTCCCACTTTCTATCACTGGAACACCTGCCAGGAGCCCTGAGCTTTCATCAAGAGTCCGATTACCATAAGACCACCACCCACAGGCACATGGTCACCAGTCCAGCTGAGCTGCACCTCCAGGAGTCCCAGCAGATGGGCCCAACAGGGGAGCAAGGTCACCGCATGGGGCAGCTGAATCCCTGCGAGTGACTCCAAGAGTCTGGAACAAAGGGGTCGCCCAGCTGGGCCCTTCCTGACCCACTCCATCACGAGAGAAAATGAAGCAGTTCATTTCAGATCTTGGAATGTTGGGGTAGTTTGTTACTTGCCCATAGAAACTGGAATAGAGTCTTTGCACTCTTTTCAGTGAATCTATCCTCCCTCTAAACACACCCTGTAGATGCTCTTATCATATAGCACTAATGTATATTCACTTAGCGTGAACCCTCACCTGCCGCTAGTCACCCAACCTGATAGCCACATACCGATAAAGCCAGAGGATGGCGGGTTGGGCTGGATCTTCTCCTTCGTGTTCTCCTGGATGATGTCCCAAAGCTGCCAGATAAACTTGGGGTGAAGAATGTAGAATGGCTGGTTCGGGTTTCTCTGACGACGCTGAACATATGGTGTGAACAGGTTGTAATCTGGCTTCTTGTACCACTAAGAGAAAAAAACATACAGTCAAGGCAGAGGTCCACACTGTGAAAAGGAAACTGGGCCATGCTGGGGTTGTGGGAATTTAGAGGCTGAGGACCAGGTTGGGTGGGGGGTTTAGGATGCCCCTTCTGCAGGCACTTCTACACTGAATGAGCGGTGAGTGAGTATAGGGGCTGAGGTCCAGCCTGGAGGACTGGTGCTTATTCTTTAGTAAAAGGAGGGAGAAGGGCTAGAGCAGGGTCAGCAGACTTTTCTAGAAGGGAACAGGCAGCAAAAGAGGTGAGACTTTGGGGCCATGGGGTCTCTGCTGCAACTCCTGGGCTCCACTGTATACTTACATGGAAAGCAGCCACAGATGGTACAATATGTGGCTGTTTCAATAAAACTTTATTTACAAAAACAGAGGCAAACAAACAAACAAAAAAGAAGCAAAGAAAAACAAAAATAAAAAGAAGGGAAAAAAAACAAAAACAAAAAACAGGGCCAGATGGCCTATGGCCATGGTTTCAATCACTGTATTTCAGAAATATGCTTTCCCAATCTAGTCTCTAGTGCAGAAACATGTCAGCAGTTGCCTGGGTCTGGGGCCAGGTCTGGGAGGTGAATGAGTGACACACAGGACTCTCTGCAATGACGGGGAGATTCTGTTCCTTTGTTGTGTGGCTGAATACAGGACTGTATGCATTCGCTACTGCCCAGCAACACATACATGTACAAAGACTACACATAAATGACTGCATGAAACCTCTTCATGGAGGGGTTTGGTGGAGGGGCTTATGTAACTCAATGAAGCTATGAGCCATGCCGTGCAGGGCCACCCAAGACCGATGGGTCATAGTAGAGACTTCTGACAAAACGTGGGACACTAGAGGAGGGAATGGCAATCTGCTCCAGGATTCTTGCCTCAAGAACCCCAAGAAGGGCATGAAAAGTCGAAAAGATAAGACATCAGAAGATGAACTCGCCCAAGCACTCCATTGGGTGGCAATGAGTTGCACACAACTTAGCGACTGAACAACAACAATTATATGAAAACATACACACTAAGGTTGATTTTTAAAAAGTCTTCAGAAGCATCTCAGGTGCCACCAAGAAGTGGGGTTTGGGGAAGGTGTGTGGGGAGGGGCTCATCTGGCTGACCGTCCCTTCAAACAGATGCTTTGGGCAAAGGTACTGGTGTTTCCACTCAGTGGTGTCTGACACTTCGTGACCCTATGGACTGCAGCCCTCCAGGTTCCTCTGTCCATGGGATTCTCCAGGCAAGAATACTACAGTGGGTAGCCATCCCCTCCTCCAGGAGATCATTCCAACCCAGGGATCAAACTTGGGTCTCCTGCATTGCATGCAGATTTTTTACCATGTGAGCCACCAAGGAAGCCTGGGCTTATATTACAATCCTACATAACAGTCCCTGATTGAATGTGGGTCTGTGGCTTTAAACATTTTGAGAAGAATAATTTGAACTGTGGCCCCCAAGCCCTGGGGGCAGCGAGAGAGAAGCTCAGGATCTTCGCTACCTCCTCCAGACCCTCATGAAGCAGAAGCAGAGCCTAGCCTCCTGAGAGTGGCACAGTCACTGCCCACGTCCATCAATCATGCCCTGAGCTTGGATGCTTCTAAAGAGGAAACAAGGCCCACAGCCAGAGACTCTCATGGGTCCAAAACAGCAAGAAAGCTGTCAGAACTTAAAACCACAGAACCTCAGGCTGGAAGGAAGCTGACAAATGCAAACACCCATTTGATACTGGTTCTTGGTAGATGGTGTGTGTGAGAATCGACTAGGAAGCTCTCTCAAAATCACAGGTGGAGGCTGGATACGGCCAGATTCCTGGGAACAGAGCTTGGGAGATGTGCGGGATAAGACTTCAGGAGATGCTAATGTGCACTCCTGGGTGAGAACAGTTATAGTTGTGCCAGGCGTGTGTCCAGCCTCTGTCTCAGAATGCACGGTGACAGAATGCTTCTTCCAGAGGGACAGGCCACCATGGGCAGCTCTTCTGGAAAATTACCCCCTGGTAGGGCTGAAATCTGTTCCTATCTTCATCGGAGGAAGCTGGCATCCTCTGGGGTCATGGAGAACAAGTCCACAGCCAGCGGCACAGCTTACAGCATTGCTCATGGGGATAAAGTACAACCCATCTTCCCAGCCCCCTTTCAGAACAAGTAGACTGGCTTTTCACGCCAGGCTTCCCCAAAGTACAGAGACTGTGAATGTAATTCTCTCATACATGTATTTTTTCAAATAAAGAGCTGACTCATTGGAAAAGACCCAACTCATTGGAAAAGACCCTGATGCTGGGGAAGATTGAGGGCAGGAGGAGAATGGAATGGCAGAGAATGAGATGGTTGGATGTCACCACTAACTCAGTAGAAATGAGCCTGAGCAAACTCTGGGAAATGGTGAAGGACAGAGAAGCCTGGCATGCTGCAGTTCATGGAGTAGCAAAGAGTTGGACGTGACTCAGCGACTGAGCAACAACAACTTGCTTTTGGCTGTTCTGGGTCTTTGTTGTTGTGCACAGGCTTTCTCTAGTTGCTGGGAGCAGGGGTTACTCTCTAGTTGTGGTGCTCGGGCTTCTCATTCAGGTGGCTTCTCTGGTGGAGCACAGGCTCTAGGTCACTTGGGCTTCAGTAGCTGCAGCACATGGGCTCAGCAGTTGTGGCTCCCAGGCTACAGAGCACAGGTTCAGTAGTTGTGGTGCATGGACTTAGTTGCCCCATGGCACATGCGATCTTCCGGGATTAGGGATCAAACTCACATCTTTTGCACTGGCAGGTGGATTCTTTACCCCTGAGCCACCTGGGAAGCCCACTCCCTTATATTTTGCTGACTGGCAATAATCTTGTTTTTTTGCCTTTTCATACTGCTCATGGGGTTCTCAAGGCAAGAATACTGAAGTGGTTTGCCATTCCCTTCTCCAGTGGACCATGTTTTGTCAGAACTCTCCATCATGACCCGTCCATCTTGGGTGGTCCTACACGACATGGCTCATAGTTTCATTGAGCTAGACAGGCTGTGGTCCATGTGATCAGTTTGATTAGCTGACTGTGATTGTGGTTTTCATTCTGTCTGCCCTCTGATAGAGAAGGATAAGAGGCTTATGGAAGCTTCCTGTCTGAGGGAGAAACCGGGTCTTGTTCTGATGGGCGGGACCATGTTCAGTAAATCTTTAATCCAATTTTCTGTTGCTGGGTGGGGCTGTGTTCCCTCCCTGTTGCTTGACCTGAGGCCAAACTATGGTGGAGGTAATGAAGACAATGGCCAACTCCTTCAAAAGGTTCCATGCACGCACTGCTGAACTCATTGCCTCTGACCCTGCAGCAGGCTGCTGCCAACCCATGCCTCCCCCAGATATTCATTGGAAGGACTGATGCTGAAGCTGAAACTCCATGACTTTGGCCACCTGATGCCAAGAACCAACTCACTGGAAAAGACCCTGATGCTGGGAAAGATTGAAGGAGGGAGAAGAAGGGGATGACAGAGGATGAGATGGTTGGATGGCATCACGGACGCAATGGACATGAGTTTGTGTACGCTCCGAGAGTTGGTGATGGACAGGGAAGCATGCCTGCCCTAGGGGTCACAAAGGCAAGACTAAGTGACTGAACTGAACTGAATAATCTTGTTTATCCTCTATCGTATAAGATTAAGAAGGTTTGGAGGCAGAAGCCAAAGAGCTGCACACTCAGGAAAAACCTGTGACAGGCTCCATTTCAATAATAATGAGCTGTGGAGTCACAAAGCTTAGCCTGTTCTGCCAAGGATTTCCCATTTATTTCAAAATATCTTTTAACTACTGGGAAGGTGATGTAATCATCCTACAATGGAAAAATTCAGCATGTAAGCAGTCCAATTTCCGGTATAACTAGGACATTCCTAGCATCTAGATGTCGTACGTTTTGTTTTTTTAAGTCCTCCAGAACAAAAACACTATCGTCAGAGGGTTAATGCTCACCGTGGAGCTACTGCAACTGGGAGTCAAAACAGTATGAGCATATGTGAATTTAATTAGCGCCTATGATCGGTTTCATTCCACCTGTCCAAGTTCAGTCCCTGACTTCCTCCTGTTATGTATCAGTCAAAGGTGCCGTCTGACCTGCAAGGGTCAGGGCCCCAAGGAAATACTCACCAGGTTAAGATTTGCAGAATAAGGAGCTGGGTCCCAGGCCACCAAGATGACGTCTTTATACAATGCACTATCCATGAAGTGATAGCTGGGGTTGGTTAGAATCTGCAAATATATACAAAAATCACTGCAAAGGGCTTAGGTCTTCAGAATTGTATTTTTTAAAAGGTGAAAACTTGTTTTTTATAATCTTATTTATTTTTGGCTGTGCTGGGTCTTGGTTGTTGGGCAGGCTTTTCTCCAGTTGTGATATGCGGGCTTCTCAGTGCGGTGGCTTCTCTTGTTGCAGAGCACAGGCTCTAGGGCACGCAGGCTTCAGTAGTTGCGGCATTTGGGCTCAGTTGTTGCAGTTCCCAGGCGCTAGAGTGCAGGTTCAGTAGTTGTGGCACATGCGCTTAGCTGCTCTGCAGCATGTGGGATCTTCCTGGACCAGGGATCGAACCTGTGTCTCCTGCATTGGCAGGTGGATTTTTTACCACTGAGTCACCACAGAAGCCCAAGAAGTGAAAACTTAAAAGAGGAATTGGAACAAAATGTTCCTCAGACTTTCTGGGGGAGGGAGAGAGGCAGGCTTTACATAGTAGAAATTTAGAAAATATCTGGAGAAAGGGGGGGGGTGTTCCTTTTTAAAGAAAAGAGCCCCCAATGGACCCATCTAAAGATATTAGCTCTGGATTGAAGCCTCTGGCTCTTTGACTACCCCAAAAGCCTCTTCCTCAGTGGCTTTCACAGGTCATTGAGGGCGACCTGCAGACCTAGAAGAACCGGAATCTTCAGGTGCCTCCCTGAGACAAGCAGCCTCAGGATAAACGGAGCCCAGAGATCTGGAGACTGGGGCCCTCTCTGGCCCTGGGTGAGCCCTTCAATCTCATCTGTCCATCACCTTTTTAAAACTATAGTTTGGGTTGGCGTGGGGGGTGGGGGAGGGGAGAATGATGCATTAATTTGTCTCAGTTTTAAGACACTCTTCTTCACATCTGAGTATTTCTGAAGTTAGGGTGTATCTCACAGTGGCAGGTGTCTTAATTTGCTGGAGCTTATCTTCTCTTTTTTGAAAAGCTGTCGTCAGACAGAAGAGGAATCTTCAATCAGTGGCATCTCTGAATTCAGCAAGCAGGGCCTGACTCTCACCTCTCTCTCAGGCTGTGAACCCAGGGCCCAATGCAGAAACCATACCTTTTATTCTGTAAGAAACTCACTATAAATTTCTCATCACTCCATTTTTTACATATAGTTTGAAATGCTAGAAATTGTTGTGGTTTGTTCTGAGAATAACTTTGTTATGAATTTTGGAAAACATTCTTCTTAAAAACACACAAAAAAGAAACTTCCTTTTTAAAATTTTCAAATGACAGTGAAATTTCTGAGGTGTTCTGCTGCCCCTTAAATTCTGTATCTTTGCCTTTCTGCCCTCCACCCCTGATTTATTCTGTTTAACTTCCTTTTTCACAGTTCACAGAATTCAGTGTGCTACATATATATATTTCTACCTCTACTCTGATTTTTCCTTTTGATCTTATTTACTTTTTTTTTTCCCTCTTCATAGCACACATGAATTCCCATGTCTTTGCATTTTTTCTCAGTAATTCTTTATTATTACAAAACCCCTAGATCATAGTCCTGGAGAGCTGGGTGATTTCTCTTCATTCACCTAGTCAAGCTATTTACCTGTAAAATGTACATCCATGAAAAGTCTACCCAGCTTACCTGGGAATTAATGATGCGGAGAGTGGTTTTATTTCCGACATCCTTCTCATAGCCACGTGTAGGAGCAGAGTTAAACCTCAAAACCGCATCGTGGGAATCTGAGGGCACATATATGACAAAATGACTTTTTTTTGCCTCTGCATAAAAATCAGCATTATCTAGGAAAATATCTTAAAGCAAAATTTTCAATACCTGAAACTAACTGGACCCCAGTAAAGTTCAGACACTCCTCCCCCCCTCTCCACACACATTGTTCGGTATACTGTTTATTTAGAATGAGATCTTGGCTGGGGGCACATAAACATGAAACTATATCAATCCATTACAAGTGGTCCTACAACATCTAAGTTATATTTAGATGCTTGATATGTGTTCATAGTCTTTAAGGACATGCTTTACAGATGCAGGAAATGTCAAGAAGCGTGTGTGTATCTAGACTGCACTGTGGAGTCTCATGTATTTTCTAGAAACAGGGCTGAAACCACAGTTAATCAGCAATAGGGAATTTCTATGGGTTTTCTCCAGTTTCAAAACAGTATGGAGGTTCCTTAGAAAACTAAAACCAGAGCTACCATATGACCCAGCAATCTCAATACTGGGCATATGTCAGGAAAAACTCTAATTTGAAAAGATACATGCACCCCAATGTTCACAGCACCACTGTTTACAATAGCCAAGACATGGAAGCAACCTGAGTGTCCATCAACAGATAAACAGAAAAAGATATGGTACATCTATACAATGGAATACTACTCAGCCATAAAAAAGAATGAAAAATGCCATTTGCAGCAACATGGATGGACCTAGAGATTATCATACTAAGTGAAGAAAGTCAGACAGAAAAAGATAAATCTATGATATTTATATGTGGAGTTAAAAAATGATGACAAATGAACTTATTTATAAAACACAAACAGACTCACAAACATGGAAAGCAAGCTTATGGTTACCAAAGGGAAAATGGGTAGGGAAGGGACAAATTAGGAGTTTGAGATTAACAGATAGACAGTACTGCATATAAAATAGATAACCAATAAGGACCTATTACATAGTACAGGGAACCATATTCAATACCTTGTAATAACCTATAATGGAAATGACTCTGAAAGAGTATATGTATGTATAACTGAATCACTTTGATGTACACCAGAAACTAACACAAAATTGTACATTAACTATATTTCAATTTTTTAAAAAATGATTCACCCATATAGTTTGTAACACTGTATAAGCATCATTTGGAAACTATCAGCTCATTAAGTCATGTAGATCTTTCAAATACCTATGCATTTCATTATAAAGTATCAAATATCATATATATCACCATGGATATCATCACTTTTTAAGTTTGGGGAGCTTCTGAGCTCATGGTTGAAAGCTTTGTCACTGGCAATAAATACTATTGGTTATGTTCCTAAAAGTGACAGGCTTACTTACTTCCCTTTTGAGAAAATACCTGCCAAATGTCCAAGTCTAAATTAAGTATGTCTGTCTGTTAGTCATCTGTCCCAAGTATAACTGTGTTTTGTGACAAAAGGGGCTAGTTCCACTCACAGCTCAATCACAAGAGTGCTTTTCCACTGGGGGCTGGTTTGCAGAAATGCTTTCATGTTATTTCCCATTCGGTCTTAAAAACACATGTACTTCAAAGATTGAAATCTAATAAAACCAATCATTTACTGCTTCATCAAGGACATCCATACTTGGAACTGGCACCCTTTCCTGTTACTGTTAAACTTGGCAGCAAAGCATTCTATGAAGGCTAGTACCATTGGGTACCACTGCTTTGATCTGTTTTATTCACGGCTGCTCCTGCATCATCCTGTTCAATTGTCAGCAGCTAAAAAGATCTGTGAGTACTATAATGAAAATAGTTCTCACCTTGTGAACCCCTGAAAGAGTCTTGGGGACTCCAAGTGCAAGGTCACACACTCTATGAACTGCTGACCTGGGGCGAAAGTGGGTTGGCCTCCACGCACTGAGAGGTAATCAGGGTGGGCACCAGGGCCAAAGGTAGGATCCTAGCACTCCTGGACCAGTTCTCTCTCTAAACTATGCCCCCTCAACACAGCCTCCATCTAGAGGTAAGGTGAACAAACTGAGGAGGCCAGGCAGTGGGTGCATTTCTAACTGATTATGTAGAAACTTCAAATTAATTGATCACTGCAGCAAATGCCCCAGTTTTTAAAAGCGGGTGTTCTATACTGAAAGTGTTAGTTGCTCAGTCATATCTGACTTTCTGCAATTGTATGGACTGTAACCCACCAGGCTACTCTGTCCATGGGATTCTCCAGGCAAGAATATTGGAGTGGGTAGCCATTTCCTTCTCCAGGGGATTTTCCTGACCCAGAGATCAAACTCTGGTCTCTTATATTGCAAGTGGATTCTTTACCATCTAAGTTACCGGGGAAACCCTGTTCTACAGTGAGGTGTGTTTTAAGCCTCAGAAGGACCTGAAAAGGCACAGGGCACAGAAAGGTAATCTAGCTTCACTCTTCTGGGAGTGGCGTGAGTTTGAAGAGTTAAGAGGTCAAATTCGTGGAGGACACAGAGAGGCAGGGACAGAGACCAGCTGTCAGGGAGCAGAAGGGACCAGGATGGGAGGGGGAGTGTGCAGAGGAGAGTCCATCATGTGGATCTTGCCTGGCTGTGCCTCTCCCAGATAATCGCCTTAAAAACTGAACTGTCCATTCACATTTAGGGGGAGAGGAATGGTTCAGACAGGAGACAAGAGAAGAGAACATAGAATCAGTCATTTCTGGAGGACATGTTTCCAGACGGAGCCACTTCACATTGACCTTGAGAACAGAGCCAGGCTCAGCACATCACTGAGGAAGATGAAAACCCTGCAGGAAGTGGCAGGCCAGAAGGTGCAGCAGCATGAAATCCAGACCCAGCCCAGGTCGCTGCATTCCCAGAGCCCCCACCCCTTCCTGAGGGCAGAAATCTGCAGAGGCAGCCCCTGCCCCAGTCTCCGGGGAACAGCCTGCCAAAGAGACAGTTCTTCTTCCTAAACCTGCCACCCAGGTCTTTCTCACCTAATTGGGACTTTCACAATGTGCTTGCTCCAATCTTGGCTCTGGAGCAATCTTTCCCTAATGAGACCCTGATCCATCACTCCTCTGCTCTAAGATTTCAGAGTTCTGCACCAGGAAGCCAGGGATGGAGTCGGAGTTTCTGAGACCCAGACTGGAGTTCAAACCCGGCTCCACCCTCTGAGTCTCGAGGTGCATCAGTTTCCTTTATCTACAAAATGGGAATAATCTTGTCTGTCACTTGGCATCACAAGGCTGGTTAACACATAAAAGCATGGAGGATGGGAACTTCCCTGCAGTAAAGACCCTACACATTGCTGTTCTTCAGTTGCTAAGTCGTGTCCAACTCTCTGTGGCCCCATGGACTGCAACTCTCCAAGTTTCCCGGTCCTTCACTATCTCTTGGAGTTTGCTCCAACTCACATCCATTGAGTCGATGATGCCATGCAACTATACGTGGTACCTACTGTTATAATCATTATGTGAAGTCTAACTTCTGGAGAATGACATGTGAGAGCATGGGGCTGACCTGCCACTGGTCCAGCTTATCTATTGGCTCTCCACCCGCAGCCCCTTGTGCTCTCCCTCATCACCCACACACTGAACTGTTTTTCTCGCCCACCTGCTCTGCTGGCCTTCAGCCTGGATTTACCTCTCAGCCCTCAAGTGGCTGGATTCCAAGGTCATTTCTTCCCTGTCTGTTTACGCGCCTCTCTGTCCTTCTAACTGTGATCCCAGAAGTGTCTCTTTATAGTCTGTCTCTCCCACCAGACAGCAGAAGATTTAAGGGTTAGGACTGGGCCTCATCCATCTTTCCATCACTAGTGGTGAGCACAGTAGCTGGTGAAGAGTTGGGGACCATGGTTGTTGAATGACTATATGACCTGCTCTCTTGCTTTTTTAAGCAATGGTAACAGGATGCCAATTTCCAAGTTCAGCCAGGAAGACGTCCCCTCCCTGAAGAGGAAGGCTTCTCTCCATCCTCCCATTTCCCACACGCTGGCCGGAATCTGAGTCTCAAGGAACAGACTTGATCTTGCATTCTAGGCGATGCCTGTTAGCTCAGGGCAGACGTTTCTTGCCTAGAGTGTGCTTCCCCAGGATGGCTGCTAGTGAGCTCACGAATAATTATTATTTACAGAACAGGTGAAGAAAGATCATCTCATGACTCCAACAATGAGTGCCCCATATTTCCAAAACAGTTCAGTTTGCTTTTCAGTAACATATTCAAAGTGGAGGTGTTTACAGCTGCTGCACTGTTCTCAAAAACAATGACAAGGTATGACTCAGTGCAACAGAATTGGGGAAGCACCGTGGCACCACAGCAGCCAGGGGAGGGAGCTTCTGAGGGGGCAGCTGCATGCAACCCTGGGGCATCCCTGGTTCCCTTGGGGAGGGGGCCCGGAGAGATTTTCTAGCTCTGCCCTCATAAGACCACAACCTCCTGCAAGTCTTCTGATCTTCACTTAGTCAATTCACAAGTACAATAGATGCTTAGGGGTTAAGATGACTTTAGTTAAACAGTACAGCATGCCCTTTTGGTGGCTCAGATGGTAGAGAATCTGCCTGCAATGAGGGAGATGTGGGTTCAATCCCTGGATCAGGAAGCTCCCCTGGAGAAGGGAATGGCTATCCACTCTTATATTCCTGCCTGGTGAATTCCATGGACAAAGAAGGCTGGTGGGCTACAGTCCATGGGGTTGCAGAGAGTCAGACACGACTGAGCCACTAACACACAGCATGCCCAATTCCAACCTTCCTGAAGAAATTGGCTCTGTGACTTTGTTCTCATCAAGAGAGGTGTTAACAACTGTGTACTGATAACTGTGTGTACATTCAGTTCATGTCAGCGCCTGGCATCATGAGGGCTGATGCTGAGAGATGCCAGCTTGTGAAAACGAAAGGCTTCTTGTCTTTACATATGGAATTGTGCTATATTATATATTCTTAAAAAGGCAGATACAAAACTGGATTCAAAGGAAGTGAAGCAAAACAACAGAGAATTTTAAAAAATTTCCAAGTGTTTGTTCTTCACGTACCTTTCTACGATTCTAATCATGAACCTTTGTGTGAGTGCAGATGCTGTCAATTAAATCTGCTTGCCAGAAACTAAGAAAGATATAACTGACACATCGTGTTCCCCAGAAACATGGAATTCCCAGTGCCATTCATACTCTCTTCTGAATTCTGAACAGGAAAGAATTTATAAGACTCTGGTCGAATAGAAGAGAATTTACAAGACTCTGGTTGGGGATATTTACGCCCGAATAAAGAGGGAGGGAGTTCTGCCTGATAGATGAAAGCAATGCAAACGCACAGGTAGGAGGCAGTGGGGCTTAAAACAAAGCAAAAAAACAAAACCAAGAGCAAGTCGGCGCCTGCTTTAAAGCGTGCTGCTTAAATTCCTCCTTCCGTGATTAATCATGTCCTGGGAACCAAAGGGAAGTGTGGCTTTACTTCACCCCAGGGGCCTCTGAGCCAGAGCTCCCTCCTAATTGGAAGCAGCCGCTCTGCTCAGCTCTGGCTGCAAGTTTCTGTGACACTCGGACAACGTGATTATGAGCCTGCTTAATGTCAGCACGGGGACACTGGGACTATACAGGCCACAAGCCCAGGCTTGAGCTTTGTTTTTTTTTTTCAACTTCTTAAAAATTTCAGATTCAGCCTCATTGCTGAGATCCTGCGGGTGTAGGTCTGGGCTGTGCAGCCTGGTGATGGGGCATCAGCCACTCCTAGAGGACATGGAAAATGCCCCAGCCCCAGAGGTGGCGATGACTCCTTTCTGTACAGCGGGTAGTGACCTCTGCAGATCGCGTCCAGGGGGACTGAGCAAACACCGTCCACCTTGAGGAGTTACGGGGGTGTGGTTTTACATCCGGCCTTGAGGCCTGAGGCTGCATCCAGTAGGCACTTGATTTCTTGGCACCTGGTACAGAAACCTGCCCGGAGGAGGGGCCACGTGTCTGCCAAAGGACTGGAGGAGCCACCGGGTCACTGGTGCTGCAGCTGGCTGGGCTGGGCACTGGGGGTGTCAAGGGCCTGAAACTAGATCGCAGTTTCCTGAGAAGAAGGGACTCTGCATCTAGATGTGGAACCCTCCTGAGCTGCTTGCCACCAGCCTGCTCCATAACTTTGGGGCTCCAGGCTGCAATAACAACCCTTACATGCATTTCCAGCCAGCCTACCTGCCTGTCCAGCGGCCTTCAGGCTTCCCAGCCCCCACAAGAGCAGGGAGGAGGCCTTAAAATTAACCTTTCTCTCTACAGCAATGCAGGAGACACAGGAGATGCAGGTTCGATCCCTGGAGATGGGAATGACTACCCATTCCAGTATTCCAGTAAGAATACCTATTCCAGTATTCTTGCTTGGCGAATACCATGGACAGAGGAGCCTGGTGGCCTGCAGTCCATGGGGTCAGAAAGAGTCGGATGTGACTTAGTGACTAAACAACAATAAAAGGAGACCTCTGATGGATCCACCTGGGTTCATCCGGTCCAGGGAAAGAAGAAGCCCCAAGACTCTCCAGAAACACAGTGTCAGACTGGGGGTAGGGGTCGAGTGGCCCTGGGGACCCACCTATCTCCTCGCCCAGTGACGAGTTGAGGATGGCGCCTGCCGATGTGACCACGGCGCAGGTCCGGAGCCCGCGCGGGAAAAGCCGGCTGAGTGGCACTGGAGGGACCAGCGCGCGCCAGCCGAGCGCCGAGAAGGGCGGCTCAGTGCCGTCCAGGGTGCGCACCTGCACGCGGCCCTGCAAGGCGCACAGCAGCTCAGTGCGGCTCCGCCCGGCCGCGCGGCGCCCCCGGAAGCGCACGCCGTGCTTGTTGGCGCGCAGGTAGGCTCCCATGGCCTTCTGCAGGCGCGGGTGCAGCATGCGCGCCGACGCATCGCCCTTCCAGAGCCGTCGCAGCAGGGCCCGGGACATGGACGAGTACAGCCGCTCCCCATCCTCGACCCCCGCGCTCCGGCCCTGCCTCCGGGGCCCTCGCTTCGCCCGCCGTCCCAGGGCTGTGCGTGGCGGCTGAGCCCCCTCCGGGCCTGGGTCCCCAGGGGAGAGGCGCCCCGACGTGCCCGGAGCGGGGTCCTCCGGAAGAAAAGCGCTTAGGGACGTTCTCCCTGTCTGGGCCAAAAGAAACTCTTGTTCATGTTCAAAGCCATCTCCGGCCCATGTCCGCAGGGGGCCGGATGGGAGTCCCCGGGGAGACCCCCGCCGCGAGTCTGCGCCCTCGGGCAGGCCCTCTGAAGCCCCCATGATGGCCCGCTGCCTTCCTTGCGCGGGCAGCAGCCTCCGGGTCTCCAGGAAGGAGAAGGAGCTGGGCGCGGGCTTGGCCGGGCTGCTGTCGGTGAAGTAGAGGAAGATCACCACAAAGAGGAGCCCCCACGCAAACACCCCGCAGAGCATTCCTTGTCTCCATTGCTTCAGGTGCGGTTTCATGGCAGGTCCACGGGCTCAGTGCTTGTGTCCCGAGGTGGCAGGCTGGACCTGAAAAAAGAGGGTGTCACAGTGAGCCACGCAGGACAGAGCTGGGGACAGTCCATCCTAGAGGGTCTCTGGGGATGGTTGGAAGGAGCATCACAAACCAGGATGGCCTGGACCTCCAGCTAAATTCAGCGCTCATGTACCCCGACTCTGGACGCCTGCAGAACAAGAAGTCACATCCCCTCAGCCCAGGGTCTTGGGAGAGGGGAGGTGAGCCCGGTGTACCTTGGAGAACTACCCAAGGCACCTTGGTGTTGTGTCTGCCTGCCCACCACCATGACTGCCTAATTCGCCCCCCTGCCCCGCCTCCCCGACCCCTGCCGGCAGCTGGTTCCAGATTTCAGTTTGGTGAAGCTGGCAGCAGGGCTCAGTCGGGGTTACCCTCTCACCTGCTCATCAGAACAGTGGCTCAGAGCTCAGATGCTGTACAACAAAGGGCCAAGTGCTTCTAAGTGAAACTTCCCCGCAGTTCCCCAGTGGTCCCCAGTAAGTGCAGTGCCCCTATAGTCCCTAGTAAGCAATGACCCAGCCACTGAGGCTGCAGGGAAAGGTTATGTAAAGGTGTCTGTGGACCTCAAAACAGCCCCCAGATGTTCACCCTCACCACCAGCCTCTGATAGAGTAAGATGGACAAATGTTGAAATTTTAAATAAGGGAGCAGATGAGGAGAGGTTTTCATGCAAGGGCAGGAGTTTTACTTAGATAAGAACTGAAACCAAGTGGGCGATCCCTAGATCAGTGTGGTCACCCGAGGAAGCTACACATGGTCTCTCATGGAAAAAAAAAGATGTGCTAGGGTGAGAAACCCACATGCCTTATGGCCCTGTAGCTGATTACAGATAGACATGGGTCCTTCACTCTCTTCCCATGGAGAGGTGGGTCTGGGTCTCTCCCATTTGAGCAGGGGGAGTTCTCTGACCAGTTACCAGGCTCAGATCCAGTAGCTTCCATGTCTTGCCTTTAAAACGCTCACAAGGGGGAAGTAGTCATCAGCAGAAGCAGACATCTCTCCGTGGACTGAGAGATGCCCAGCTGAACCCTGGGTGTCCAGCCCACTACCATCCTGGACTCCAGCCCAGTGGAATGATCAGATGATTCCAGCTCTGTCCAGCCTCTAGCGGCAGCTGCATGTAAGAGCCCAAGCAGGAACCCAGTGGAGCCAGTTAACCCTCAGAACCAGGTGTGATAAAGACACTAGTTTAAAGTGATAGAGGTTGCTCTTCTGAGCCACAGGTCTGGAGCTGATTCGTTATATCAGAAATGATCATTGGAACAGGCTCTGCTAGAAAAGTCAGATGAGAAGTTCCCCAAATGCCTCAACAGTCATGCACCCTTGAGACGAGTCTAGCCTCTCAGAGGGATTATGTGAAGAGCAACATTCACTGAAATGTTTTTTAAGTTGTGACTTCTGAAAAGCTGTCTGCTTGACACATGAAAGCAAGGCTGTAGATTTCCTTCGCAGCCACACATCAAACCCACACACAGAGCATGGTCTCACCAAGCCAGACACACTCATGCCAGCGAATGAATGTACAAGAAATAGTGCCAGCAGTTAACTTGCTCTCTGTCAGACCCTGTGCTCACTTAACATGTTTCCTTCATTATCTTATTTGGTCTTCCCAGCACCCAGTCGGGCTTCCCAGGTGGCGGTAGTGGTAAAGAATCTACCTGCCAATGAAGGAGACATAAGAGATGCAGGTTCAATCCCTGGGTTGGGAAGAGCCCCTGGAGGAGGAAATGGCAACCCACTCCAGTATTCTTGCCTGGAAAATTCCATGGGCAGAAGAGGCTGGTGGGCTACAGCCCGTGGGGTTGCACAGAGTTGGACACAACTGAAGCGACTTAGCACAGCACCTAGTAAGTAGGAAACACTGCTATGTCCATTTTATAGAGGAGGGGGTTGAAGCCTGGAGGGGTTAAGTAACTTGCCCAAAGTCACAGAGATAGCATGCAGTAGACAGCACCAAAAAAGCCACCTGCTCACACTTTTAATGCTAAATTCTGACTCCATCTAATGGTACCAGATGAGGCTGTCTATTCTAAATACACCAAATTGTGGGACTCTGAATACACATTTCCATTCCTGACTGTCTCGGCAATGTCCTGGTGCTGGAAAAGCTTCTGAGGGCTCACCACCAAGTTCTGTCCATAACTCTTGAGGGACAGCCAACGAGCAGCGTCCCCAGACAGACACTGCCTAGAGACCACACTGAGCAGCAACTGCTAAATGATCCCCCCAAATCTGTCCACTCAGGAGCCTGCGCTCCAAACTGTGATGCCCCAGCCTGATGATCAAAAAGCTGTTTCCAGGATCTCAACATTTCTATTAGCAATCACAAAATTACCCTTAATAACAGTTATTCTGTGTTTCCTCCAGCTGAGCGCCATGCCGCATTGCTCTGACACCAACCACCGCAGCTAGCGGGGCCCTACGGGGAAAAGGCTCAGTCCCACACGATGGCCCCACTTCAGACACCAGCCTGGAGTGGGTTCCGCAGGCCACCTGCACTTCTGGCAGTTTGGCTACCGATCTGGGGGCTCCCCATGAGACCCTTAGGTTTGAAGATTTGTTAAACAGACTGGCAGAACTCAGGAAAGCACTAATATTAATATAAACCAGTGATCACAGTCTCTGGGAAAGGGATACACAGAGTTTGAGGGCTGGGTGGGAGTTGTCCCAAGGGCAGAGGTTCCAGGCTCTCTATACCTGGGGTCTAGGGATGTCACATGAGGGACATGCATGTGTTGACCAATCACAAATCTCCACTGAGCCCTGGACCCGAGTTTAGTTGCAGTTTCATTAGGTGGACATCACTGACTGAATACTTGGCCGTGTGACTGAATTCAAACTTCAGTTGCCTTCCCATCTCCAGAGGTCAGGCTGGCCCAAAGCCCCCACTGTCTCATCACTGGATTGGTCTTTCTGGTGATTGCCCCCATCCTGGGAGGTTCACCGAGACTCACCTCTTTAGCACAACAAAGACCCTCTTATAACTCAGGCGATTCCAAGGGTTTTAGAAGCTCCATTTCTAGACCTGGGACAAAGACCAATTCTTTGTATTACAGTAAGGCAGTAGTTGCTTATTTAAAAGGCAGTCTTTCTGCTCCTGGCTGGAAATCCTCATTACTGCTGGCTGCACTAGGATTAGTTTTGAGCTAATCCTGGCAGGTCACTAAAGAAAGGAAACAGAGGTTTCTTATTTCAGCATTTGCTTCAGAGTCAAAGTTAGCGGTGTGCACAGGGCTGGGGCTGGTGAAGCCTTGACCTCCTGAGGAGGAGCTGGGGGCCAGAACAACACCCAGTTGCCTCCATTCAGCAGGGTCAGGAAGGCCATGGGAACTGAGCTGGGAGGAGACCTACCACATCCCACAGCACACTCAGGGCATTACACACACACACAGCCTGCTTTACATGGATATGCCTGACTCCCAGCAGAAGACTTGAGAAACCCTTTCCCTCAGGGGGAAGTGAGAGATGTGAAACGGAGGGATGTGATGAGAGGATGTCTGGGGACTCGAAAGGAGGAAAGGAGAAGCCCTGCAGGACGGACAGGGCTGCGAGGGGCCAGGACCCTGGGGGATGTGAGGTTCCCTCCACAGGTCTCTGGGAGGTGGAAGGGTGGGTCTGTGAGGCCTTGGACATGGAGAAACGAACATCATCCCAAGGTATAGGATGACTTCTCATCAGGTGAGACTTCCACACCTGATGCTTGGTAATAACCTGAAGGCATGGGTTCGCTGCCTCTGCTCTGGGTGAGGCTTCAACTGTTAATAAACTGCAGCTGTACCTGCAGCCTCTGTCACTGCAAACCTCTGTTGCCAATTAAGGAGACGTCCTCCAAAATGACGAAATCTCAAGGCGGTGCGGATCCTCTGCTAGCGACAGGCTGCAGAAATCATTTCATGTGCCATGGCCCCAGTCATCAGTACTTTTGCAAAGATCCAGGACACAGAGGTGGAGGATGCTGTCAGAGTCAGAGCCTGGATCAGTCTTTGCCTTAAAATAACCATACAGCCTAATAGGGTTTCCCGGGTGGCTCAGCGGTAAAGAAAATGCCTGCCAATGCAGATGTGGGTTCGACCCCTGGGTCAGGGGTCAAATAGAAAATGGAATAGAAAATGGCAACCCACCCCAGTATTCTTGCCTGGAGAAACCCACGGACAGAGAAGCCTGGCGGGCAATAGTCCATGGGGGTGCAAAGAGCTGGACATGACTGAGCAACTGAGCACATGGTCTAATAGGAGAAATGTTGGATAAATGAGAGAAAATACATTTTTTCCCCATTAGTATAGTACACCTGAAATGCTGTGATGATACAGCTCAAATGGATAGTGTCTGTAACTCTCGCTGATCTATCTCATCATCAGCAGGGGGACGTGAATGGCACCAGGGACATACAAAAAGAAGCTCATCAGACAAATCATTGGTCCCCAGGCAGTGATGAAAAGGGGCTCCTTAATGGAGCACACGCAGCCTTTTCTGGGATGGTGTCTTTGACTGAGGCTGTTGAGGTCCTGCTGGCCAGGTGAGAAGCATAGCCTGTCCTGTGTGGATTTCTCTCTTTTCCTTTTAGGATTCCAACATCAGCATCTGGCCGTGCTAGGGCATAAGTTCCAATTGGGTGCTCTCTGCCTACGTCAACCAATTTTCTTTGTTCTCACCTTTTACCCACTTTCTGTCGCCTTTGTAGCCAAGCTTCTAGGAAACCTAACGTGCAGACAAGGATTAGAGACAAAACAAAAAAGTGACCCACTGTGAGAAATCAGTGGGTCTACCTGCTCTGGAATTCTGATGCCCAAATCTTATATACTAATTCTCAGAGAAATGAGTCCCATTTCCGCATGGATGTTCCACAATAGCATAGAGTATTCAAATACTCCTTCAAGTCATTCAGAAAGAAATCATATTCTCAAAAAGGCACAATTTGTGATAAGTTGTCCAATGAAATTATGCA